GCCTGTTTAATTCTAAGGGACAAAGAGAGGATGGAAAATGTAGAAATTAATTATGATGGTTTAACTGGGGAAAAAAAATATAATTCGGGAAAAATGCAGGACACGGAGGCACTTTATCACATTAACCTGGCATCCGCTTCTATGTGTAGAGACGGACGAAGTAATTCTAGACCAGGAGTCGCAACCTAAATGTTAAGAAGAGCCGTTTTGTCGTTTCAGCAAAAATCAAACCACCATAGGAGCCACAACATTTTATGTTCATTTTACCATCTTGGCTGTAAATATGTCTCAGTGTGTGCTAATGTACTAGTATAGGCTAAAAAAATTAATACAAATGAAAACATAGACTTAGTTTACTCTGCTTTAAGCTTTAGCTCAGCTATAGCTGCTTTTCTCGCATCTCTAGCAGGAAACTTTTCCACAAAAGTAGAACAGTTTCTTGTAAAACGTCTCTCAACATTCAAATTTTTACGAGGCTGAAGTCGCTTCTCATTCAAATTTTCCTGCCAGGTGCACCATTTAAGGCGGAACGGAAGAATCTGAATGAGAAGCTGAATTCAGCTTTGTGATGTTTTAGTGTTTGACAGTTTCTTGTTGCACTCCAGCATTTAAAAATTGTTAAAACTGTGTTGAACGATCAGCAGAGCTTCATTTTACTGCAAAGGAGGATTATTTTATTTTTACCTACAAATCTAATTCTGCTGTGGAGCCACAACAGGGCAGTAAAATAGCTGCATGTTGCCGACCCCTGTACAAGGCTCAAACGTAGCCTTGCATTCAAAGACAGAACAGAATTCAGCAAAGAAAGGCTGTGTGTGGGCCTGTGTGCCTTGTAATAGAGGTTAATATTTACAGTCCCACCGAACGGTTGGTATAAAGCAAACAGACTCAGATGTGTAACTCGTTCACTCTACACCTCAAACCGGCCTGTGGGTAAACAAACCATAACACCATTTTCACTCTCAAACTCCGAAATGCAAAACATGGCCTTAGAAACTGGAGCGCAAAGAGAGCACGAAGGAGAAAAGGACGAGAGAGAGTCAAATTGAGCAAGACAGAGAGAGAGAGAAGCAGCAGCCACTCACAGTTACTCGATGATGATTTCTTTTACACACAATAGAAGGGTAAACACTATTCGGAGCTTCCAAATACGGCTCATTGTGTTAGTGTCCATTAGTCTTCAGATTCTAAACGCTGGCTAAGAAACAGCTCTCCGGTCGCTGTCCTTCACATAAACAACACGTCAAGTGGCTCTGGGCTTTTGAAAACAATCCGCAGCGACGTAAAACATCACAACAGCACTTCACAACCTCAGTGAGCTGCATAAGCGAAGGCTGTAAAACAGGAATGTCTCTTCTTTGTTGTTTGGTTTAATCCAGACGGTCATAACAGGTGAATTTAATTACTAAAAGGTGCACCTACTGCTGAAACAGGCGTTCAGTTGTGTACACAGTTTATGCACTCCGCATACAAAAGCAGTGACCAACAGAAATGGCCACAGTGGCACATGAGCCTGAAGTCACCATGCTCAATGCCAAGCGTGGGCTAGAGGGGTCTAAAGCCCCCCAGCATTGGGCTGTGGAGCAGTGGAACTGTGTTCTCTGGAGTGATGGAGCTCCATGAGTCCAGAACTGACCATCCAACATCAGTACCTCATGGCTGAATGCAATCAAATCCTCACAGCAATTACCAGAAAAGTAGAGGCTGTTACTGCAGCAAAGGTAGGACAAATTTCATGTTTAAGGTAAATTCTACCAGTTTTTCGAAAATACTTTTAGGCATAAACAGAGTATTTCAAAGTGATTTAATCTGAATGGTTCACTGTAGAGAAACATACTAATTCAGCTATTTTTCTCAATAATGGTGATAGGAACCAGGGGCCGTTATGTCTACAACCTAAATATAGTCATTTTATTTATTTTCCAAAACAGTAATGAGTGAACCTGCACATCTTTTGAGTTTTCATAGGAAATGTTGGCAAAACAAGCTGTAAATCTGAAAAAAAATTACGTTTTACACCAAAACCTTCTGAGGAGTATAGCAAAAAACATTGTCTCAGACATCAGGCAGCATATTCATAACTTCTTTGTCTAATAACTTTCTGTGAATTAGCTTTCAGAGGCATTAAACTCTTCAGAGGGCAGCGACCGTATTACAGAAACTCTTTCTGTCTTAAGTTAAGATCTGACAGGTCAAGATAAGATTTTTCACAAACTCGTATTACAGAAGCAAATCTGATCTTAATTTAGGAATCTTATCTGACAGCATCTTATCTCAAGGTAAGAAATCTTAACTTAATCAACTGTCGCGTCTGTTACCTAGCAACCGACAATACGCACACAGCTGAAACGTAAACACGTAATCAATGAAATCAAGCTAGTTAGCCAGGTAGCTAACATTAGCTACCGTTACTGATGTAAACAAGGTCAAATAAGACTAAAGCGAGATAAACTGAAAATTAAGAATATTGTGGCTGCGCTTCCTTCTGTTCATCAGAGCATCACCACTCTCAGTTTCAGTCTCCATTTCCCAAACGCTTTAGCCGAGCGTGCTAACGTTATTCCTCCTAATAAACAGACACACGTTCAGCTCTGTCTCCTCATTATTCAGCACCATCACTGAAATATTTTGACGAGTTTTCACCAACATTAACAAACGAAGGTAAGAGGGACGGTGGTGATTGTGCCTGCAGTGTCTGGGTTCACAAGTCAAAGCACCGTTCTCAATAGAGATAAATGTATTGTCATTATGCTAGTTAGTTATAGGGAACTGTGCTGTCTGTTCCTGCACAAAACAATAGAAACAGACGGGTAACCAGAAGTTAAGACAGATCTGGGGTTTATCTTACAGTTAGGACAGAATTTAGAAAATTGTGTGTATTTTTTTTTATTCACACTTTTCTGTAATAGTGTTAATGGATAAGATTATGAACTTAAGCACTGTTGTTCTATAATAGCTTCGGTCCTAAATTCAGGCCTAACTAGTTGTCATGGTGACTACGCAGATAAGATTTCAGACTTAAGAAGTTTCTGTAATAAGGCCAGATATCACTTTGTTTTTACCTCTTAACCATTTAATCTGGCAGAAATGCTGACAAATTGGTGGAGTTCCCCAATAACACCCTTGATTTCAGAAGAAACACTGGATGAGTGGATGTCTACAAACTTTTGGACACACAGCTCAGATATCCTGCTTTGGGAAATAACCCCCAGGACTATGAGGCCATTTACCAGCTCGAGCACTGGCTAATTAGCTAAAGTACTGAGGCAGGTGAGTTAAATCAGGGATGCTAATCTGTGCGGCGCTCTGACCCTCCAGAACTGCTCTGAAGATATGCTTCGCTGAAAGCGTACCCATGGATTCCAAACATTTACAGTTTAATCATTGAAAGCAAGGGGCAAAAGGTTGCAGGCAAACCTTCAGCTCAGCCCGTTTCTATGACGACCAAACCTTCGCTCCATTTTTTTTTCGCTCTCCTCATGCTGCCTTCCTCCTTTTTGGCAGTGACGCAAGAAAACAGTGGCAATGTGTGCTCGTGGAGGCCCTGCTAAATGTCCAAATGTGGCGCCGTCACCTGACTCGGTTAGTTAATCTTCGACAATGCGCAGAATCCACGTCTCGCTGCGTGATGAAATCAGAGCCTGACTCAAATCACAAGTAACCAATGTTCCTTATTGAACACAGATGGAAAGGCAAAAGCACTTCTGCCATGCAACAACGTCTGTCAGCAGTCTGCGATTATCACACACCTCAGTCACCATGATAAGAGCTCTACCTGCACCAAGCACAGGTGATAACACCACCCTCCACCCTGCAGACTCTCTGTGCTTGCCAGGTGTGTGTGTGTAAGTACGAATGGCAGAAAATAGGCCACAGACTGTCTGTGTCTGGCAAGTCGCCTGTGTCTGAGGACAGCGTCTCCGTCGCTGCTCCTCTCTTAATGCCCGGCATTGACTCTGTTCACCTACCTGACTCTCTCCTGCTTTCCAAAAGCCACACAGGTCGCAGTCAGCCCAAAATAACACTAACGCTCTGACGATCTGTTCAGTATTTACAAAGTAAACATTCATCTAAATCTAAATGTTAGGAAAGGAGGGAGTTTTAGAGTCTAAAGAATTGGAGCTCTAGAACTAAAGCAGCTGAGAATTCAGCTCTGATTCCAATTTGAGCTCTAGAACCTTTAAGTTCTAGAGTGAGTGTTAGAATCTTGAGAATTGGAGTTCGAGAATAAAAGTAGCTCAGAGTAAATCTGTGATTCCAATTTGAGCTCTAGAACCTTTAAGTTCTAGAGTGAGTGTTAGAATCTTGAGAATTGGAGTTCGAGAATAAAAGTAGCTCAGAGTAAATCTGTGATTCCAATTTGAGCTCTGGAACATTTTAAAGCTCTAAATTCAAACTGGAGTTCTACGATCTAAAGAACTGGATTTCTAGCTGATAGTTCTAAAGCTTAGCATTCTAACTGGTGTTCAAGAATCTAAAGAACTGGAGTTTTTGAACTGAAACAGCTGGGAATTCTAGAGCTCTGTATTCTAACTAGAGTGTGTGAATCTATACTACTGAAGCCCTAGAACTGAAACAGCTGAGATTTCTAGAACTCTGTATTCTAATTTAAAATCTAGGAGCCCAAAAACTGGAGATCTAGAAGCAAAACAACTGAGAATTCTAAAGCTCTGTATTCTAGAGTGTGTGAATCTATAGAACTGGAGTTCTACAACTGAAACAGCTGAGATTTCTAGAACTATGTATTCTAAACGAAGGTCTAGGAGCCCAAAAAACTGGAAATCTAGGACCAAAACCGCTGAGAATTCTAGAGCTCTGTATTGTAGCATGTGTGAATCTATAGAACTGGAGTTCTAAAACTGAAACAGCTGAGATTTCTAGAACTCCGTATTCTAACCGAAGGTCTACAAGCCCAAAAAAACTGGAGATCTAGAACCAAAACAGCTCCGTATTCCAATAAGCCTGACCCGCAGAGGCGGGATGTCCCAGGGTTTGCTTACCGTGATGACGGCCTTGCTGAGGCACAGTGAGCCCCTGCACCCGTACTCCCTCTCATCCTGAGACTTGTAGTAGCTCAGAGTGTTGTTCTTGAGGACAACCCATCGGTCCTGCCAGCCATGGATGTAGTTAGTCCACTGTGGACGCAGAGAGAGAGAAGAACAGAGTTAGAGCAGGACTGACACCTTCATGGTGGTGCTAGACGGTACTGATAAAATTCAATATCACACTGTTTTCTGAACATACCAACGTATCAGGGGACACTTAAGCCTAAGATAGTATTAATAAAATTAATAAACCATGCTTCCTCAGTGTACTACTCAACACTACAGAATGTCTTACAAACCAGCTTATTTTTATCAGACAATAATATCGCAATATCGGCTGATAATTGCTTAAAATAATAGCAGCATTGGACAGCTTTGGTTTAGATTTGATTGATATCTCAAATCGATTTTTAATAACATATTTGTCATACTCAAGAAGAGCGGAATGCTTAGACGCTACAACACATTTTAATCATTACACTGCATTTGCAACATTACATTTCCCATAATGCTAAATCAGTTAGATTTAGTTCCAGTTTCTCCATTTATCTTGACATCAGCCAACTCCAATATTGGTTAATCCTTACTGGACTGTTCCACTTCTCCTAAAATTATACCAAAGGGAACCTTACGTAATACTGAAAATGCCAACAAAACAGAAATTGCAACAGAAAATAAGTAATTACATACAAAAAGCTATGATTTATTGTATACTTACGTAGGCTGAGCTGCTCTTTCAAAACAATCTGTAGCAGCCAGCAAGTGAAATATTACATTTTTGTATGCAAAATGGCCCAGCATGGGCACGTTAGGAGACTTACCAGCTGCAACACTTCATATATGACACCTGACACTCAAGTAAACCTTCCATCACTAAACAAGCACACGCTTCCCCTTCACAAACATGCTGCAATATACACCAATCAGGCGTAACATCATGACCGCCTCGTTTCTACGCTCATTGTCCATTTTATCAGCTCCACTTACTATATAGGTGCACTTTGTAGTTCTACAGTTACAGACTGTAGTCCATCTGTTTCTCTGCATACTTTGTTAGCCCCCTTTTACCCTGTTCTTCAGTGGTCAGGACCCCCATGGACCCTCACAGAGCAGGTACTGTTTGGGTGGTGGATCATTCTCAGCACTGCAGTAACACTGATGTGGTGGTGGTGTGTTAGTGTGTGTTGTGCTGGTCTGAGTGGATCAGACACAGCAGTGCTGCTGGAGTTTTTAAACACTGTGTCCACTCACTGTCCACTCTATTAGACACTCCTACCTCGTCAGTCCACCTTGTAGATGTAAAGTCAGAGACGACAGCTCATCTGCTGCTGCACAGTTTGTGTTGGTCATCCTCTAGTCCTTCATCAGTGGTCACAGGACGCTGTTGGCTGGATATTTTTGGTTGGTGGACTATTCTCAGTCCAGCAGCGACACTGAGGTGTTTAAAAACTCCAGCAGCACTGCTGTGTCTGATCCACTCACACCAGCACAACACACACTAACACGCCACCACCACCACGTCAGTGTTACTGCAGTGCTTAGAATGATCCACCACCCAAATAGGACCTGCTCTGTGAGGGTCCGTGGGGGTCCTGACCACTGAAGAACAGGGTAAAAGGGGGCTAACAAAGTATGCAGAGAAACAGATGGACTACAGTCTGTAACTGTAGAACTACAAAGTGCACCTATATAGTAAGTGGAGCTGATAAAATGGACAATGAGTGTAGAAACAAGGAGGTGGTCAGAATGTTATGCCTGATCGGTGTACACTGTGTGTAAATTTCATGATGAATGGACTAAAAGTGACCAAATGACTAGGAAAAAAGTCTGGTTCCATTGACTTACATTAAAAGTATAGTATGTTTTTTCCTTCTCCTGTAAAAATACCATTTTGGAGATACGTGGTTTCCTTCCGACAACAGCGATAAGCATTCACACCTGATGGTGGACGATTTAAACTGCTGTCTCTCCCGGAATACGCATGACTCCAACAGGAGATCCAATTACAGCAGCTACATCAGCCCTCCCGTTTAAAGCATTTAAGGGGGTTTCTGTAATGACGTTTGAGTCAAACCTCTTGGGCCGCCTGGCACAACCAGCGTTTAGCTCAGCTAGAGCAAAGCCCCTGCCTGGAATTTCAAGCAGGAGCAGCTTCAGAATGACCTCTAGTAACCCCGGCGAGGAGCTGCTTGTCCAAACACAGCCTGAAGGCGAATTTCATTCAAATCTGTGTTGCCTGTCAGCTCCCTCTTCCATCCTGGCATGTCAGTAAGTTGTTTGTATAGGGCAGGTAGGAAATTACTAGCCCTGCAGGCAGGTTAACGGCTTGGTGGCAGCATTACGCTTCACTGGTTCAAGCTAGTGAGTGCTGGACATGGACGACACATGGCCCAGCTGTGTTTAATACACATTAAAATGCTATTTCGGCAAAAACAACATTAGACACTCCACTCTGGAGCCTAGATCAGTTGTAAACAAAGCCGGAGTTAAATGGGCGCATTAAGTTATCATGGGTTTAGATCGGCTCAACGTGGCTGTACAGAACAAAAACAAGGGAAAGGAGAAGCAGGAGGTTTACGGATTATTACTAAGATTTCCTTTCCTTCTTACGCATTACGGCTGAGGTTTTCACCCCTTCTCTGAGGGATTAGTCTTGAGTTTTTTGCAGGTTTTTTTAGAGATTATTCCCAAGGTTTTCACCTCATCATACGGCCCATTTTCTTACAAACTGTTAATGTTTTCACCCTTTCATTACAGATTATTGTTAAAGTCTTCACCCCTCAGATTATTACTGAGGTCTTCCCCCTTTTCTTTCAGATTATTACTGAAGTCTTTACCTTTGTACTTTACATTGTTATTGAGATATTCAGTTTCTTCCTTCAGATTATCATTGGAATCTTTACCCTTTTCCTTCAGATTATTACCGAGATCTTTATCTTTTTCTCAGATTATTACTGAGGTCGTCCCCCATTCCTTTCAGATTATTATTGGGATATTTACCCTTTTCCTTCAGATTATTACTGCTGTCCTCACCCACTTTCTTTTAGATTATTATTGAGATCTTCAACCTTTTCCTTCAGATTATCACTGAGGTCTTCACCCTTTTCCTTCAGACTAATACAGAGGTCTTCACCTCCTTATCTTATTTCTGAGGTCTTCACCTCCTTTCCTTCAGATTATTACCGAGGTCTTCACCCTTTTTCTTCAGATTATTATTGACATATTTACCCTTTTCCTTCATAATATTGAGAGCTTCACCCTTTTCCTTCAGACTAATACAGAAGTCTTCACCCCCTTCGCTTAGATTATTTCTGAGGTCTTCACTCTTTCCCTTCAGATTATTACTGAGGGTTCAACCCTTTTCCTACAGATTATTATTGAGATATTTATCCCTTTTCCTTCATATCATTGATAGCTTTACCCTTTTCCTTCAGACTAATACAGAGGTCTTCACCCCCTTTCCTTAGATTATTTCTGAGGTCTTCATCCTTTTCCTTCAGATTATTACTGCTGTGCTCACCCACTTTCTTTTAGATTATTATTGAGATCTTCAACCTCTTCCTTCAGATTATTACCGAGGTCTTCACCCTTTTTCTTCAGATTATTACTGAGATATTTACCCTTTTCCTTCATATTATTGAGAGCTTCACCCTTTTCCTTCAGACTAACACAGAGGTCTTCACCTCCTTAGATTATTTCTAAGGTCTTCAACCTTTTCCTTCAGATTATTACTGAGGGCTCAACCCTTTTCCTGCAGATTAGAGTGTATATCTTCAACCTTTTCTCACAGATTATTGAATACTCGTTACTTTTCCGTTATTACTGAGAGATTCGCTTCTTTCTTGCACCATCATCCCTGTTCAGATTTTAACCCTCCTTCCTACAGCTGACACTGCTGAGCACTTCAACTTCTTTCAAATGACTTATTTTCGCCCTTTCTTGCCCCCTTTTCCTCCTCCTGCCCCGAGGTGTGTGGGTCACCAACCTTGCTGAGGACTCCACTGAACTCGGCCACCCCTCCGTGCGGTCCGGGATCAGCCTCCAGGTCCTCCTCAGAGCCCGAGGAGTTCCAGCTCTGGTTGTCCGACATCTGTTTACCGTTGGGCAGCGGACTCGAGTTCATCAGGTGCCGGTGGCGAGGCGCGACGGCTCAGCGAGAAAACAACCAAAAACCGTGAACCCGGTCGGCCAACTTGGCATCTAATATCCCTCCCGAAATCAGATACAAGCTGAAAAATAGCGGCCCGGTGCTGATTTCAGGAGAATATAGGAGGATAAACAGAGCTGGCTAGCCGTCCGTTAGCTCTAATGCAGGAAGCTAACAGAGCTAGCCTTCAAACCCGCCCCTCTGTTTCTTCTTTCAAAAAAACGGTCACACCTTTACGTGAGGTCGCTGTAACCCTCCTACAGTGGTAACTACAGAACATTCAGGCGTCTTTGAGCAATACGATACCGGAAACAGTCGCGGAAAGGCTATAAATCTATGTTAAATCGAGCTCCTCTGTGTTTTTTGAGGAGAAACAAGCGGCGCGTTTGAGCTCTCAAACCAACGCCATCTTCACTGACCGAATCGCGCTTTTGAACCGGTTCTTTTCGACGAACCGATTCACCGAAGCCCAACTGAGTCGAACTTGTTTGTGGCGCCTACGCAACCTGTCTGTCCTCTAAGAACATCCGAATAATGACTTTTTGTGGTTTAGCTTAAAAAAACAACAAGATAAATCGTTTTTATTGGAATTAATTAAATAAAAGATTATTCTTAATAAACAAAAAATTGAATTCAATTTTAGTCCCAAGTCCCAAGTCAAGTAATAACTGTGTCAAGTCAAGTGGTCATATTGCCATGCGTCAATATAACTTGCATGCATTGAAGCAAAATGTCATTATTCAGGCCCCAAACGCACAACAGCAGGACATTACACGGGACTGCATAGAGTGCAGATACACAATAGAGTGAAATGAGTGCAGAATGTACACCGATCAGGCATAACATTATTATCCTTGTTTCTACACTCACTGTCCATTTTATCAGCTCCACTTACTGTATAGGTGCACTTTGTAGTTCTACAGTTACAGACTGTAGTCCATCTGTTTCTCTGCATACTTTGTTAGCCCCCTTTTACCCTGTTCTTCAGTGGTCAGGACCCCCATGGACCCTCACAGAGCAGGTACTATTTGGGTGGTGGATCATTCTCAGCACTGCAGTAACACTGACGTGGTGGTGGGGTGTTAGTGTGTGTTGCGCTGGTCTGAGTGGATCAGACACAGCAGTGCTGCTGGAGTTTTTAAACACTGTGTCCACTCACTGTCCACTCTATTAGACACTCCTACCTTGTCAGTCCACCTTGTAACTGTAAAGTCAGAGACGATAGCTCATCTGCTGCTGCACAGTTTGTGTTGGTCATCCTCTAGTCCTTCATCAGTGGTCACAGGACGCTGCCCACAGGACGCTGTTGGCTGGATATTTTTGGTTGCTGGACTATTCTCGGTCCAGCAGTGACACTGAGGTGTTTAAAAACTCCAGCAGCACTGCTGTGTCTGATCCACTCAGAACAGCGCAACACACACTAACACAACACCACCACGTCAGTGTTGCTGCAGTGCTGAGAATGATCCACCACCCAAATAGTACCTGCTCTGTGAGGGTCCATGGGGGTCCTGACCACTGAAGAACAGGGTAAAAGGGGGCTAACAAAGTATCAGAGAAACAGATGGACTACAGTCTGTAACTGTAGAATTACAAAGTGCACCTATATAGTAAGTGGAGCTGATAAAATGGACAATGAGCGTAGAAACAAGGAGGTGGTCATAATGTTATGCCTGATCTGTGTACATTAAATACAGTAGATAATAAATATAGAGCAATAAACACACCAGACAATAAATATCAATATCTGTGTCCACTGACTGCTCTCTCCTTTCCTTTTACAGTCTTTTCAGCGTGGCTGACTTTGTTGTCAGTTCTTCTGCCCTCTATCCTATTTGTTATGGTCAGTTTTTGAGCACCGGTCAGATTTGGTTGGCAGACTGTTCTGTTTAATATACGCAACGACTCTTTTCAAAGCGGTCTTCAGGCGTCATTTTAGAATGTAATACTTGTAAGAGTAAAAGGACGTTACTTACTTGTTTACCTATTTGAATACTTTACGGGACTTTTAAATGATCTATAGGAACTCTGCTACCTACGGCCCCAAAGTGGAGGGAGCTTAAATTTTATTAGATTTTATCATAATTTATATTTTATTTAAAATTGTTCCCAATCATTTTATTTTATCTCAATTCTATTACTGTTCTTATTTATTTACTGTCATCACTTTTTATAATCCTTTGACTTGACTGAATTTTAGTTTGCCTATTTGTCCTTTTATGTTGAAATCTTATTAAATTATTATCTTGGTTTTATTTCATATTTCCCCTTCTTAATTCAGTCTTAAATGTTCTCTTGATTCTTTTGCCATTTATTTTGTTTGACTTTACTGTCAATTTGTTGAAATAGTTCTGTCCATTTTAGTTTAACCTGATTAAATTCTATTTTAATTTCTTTTTCAATCCCTTTAAGTTGTAAATGCTGGGCTGAGTTGATAATGAGGGTCTCCCTCACTGTATTTCCCAGTTAAAATAAAGGTTGACTGATTGATCAAGGGCTCTGGAATCAAAAGTTTGCTTTGGGATAAAATTTTAAGTTCAAATAGGGGCAAGAAATTTGTGGAACACCCCTCAGCGGGGTTAAAATGTGTAAATTACAAAAGTAATTTTGCAAAAGCTCTCCAGTTATATGATATAAACCAACTGCTAATGTTAAATCTGTCATAAAAAAATGAACTACTGATTGTGTCAGACATGTAGAGGATGCTGGACATGGTAGGTCAGGAATTCAGTACCGTAATATAGGATTACAACTTCCAGAATCACTTTGCTGTAGCTTGGACTCCTTTTTCTTTTATGATTTTATGTCCTTATGTACTACTTTGACTCCACTGCTGAGTAGAAGTGGCTGGCATTAGAATCAGTCCCTGAAATTAAACCTTATCGTTTGTTGAGGAGAAGATAATACAGTTAACTCGACCTTTGATTCAGTGAATCAGACGTTCGAATAGTTCAAAGGAATCGGTTCAGTGAAGTGAGTCGAACGTTCCGTTACTGACGTCTGTCGAACTGTGTGAGTGGAGGGGCGCTGGCTGTGACATTGCGTCACAAGCCACGCCCCAAAACAATGATGATTGACAGACATTTCGGGAGCAGAGTTCATTACACACCGTAAACAGTCAGCATATTTAATTTTTACAAATATTTCAGTTTTAATTTCTATATTTTAATATTTTTTACTTAATAGAGCACTTTAGTTATATTAATAGCACAGCTGATCCTAAACAGTTAAGATTATTTTATTGTAAAATACATCGATCAGTCGTAATATCAACACCACCTCCTCGTTTCTGCGCTCACTGTCCATTTTATCAGCTCCACTGACCATATAGGAGCACTTTGTAGTTCTACAGTTACAGACTGTAGTCCATCTGTTTCTCTGCATACTTTGTTAGCCCCCTTTTACCCTGTTCTTCAGTGGTCAGGACCCCCATGGACCCCCACAGAGCAGGTACTATTTGGGTGGTGGATCATTCTCAGCACTGCAGTAACACTGACGTGGTGGTGGGGTGTTAGTGTGTGTTGCGCTGGTCTGAGTGGATCAGACACAGCAGTGCTGCTGGAGTTTTTAAACACCTCGGTGTCACTGCTGGGCTGAGAATAGTCCACCAACCAAAAATATCCAGCCAACAGCGTCCTGTGGGCAGCGTCCTGTGACCACTGATGAAGGACTAGAGGATGACCAACACAAACTGTGCAGCAGCAGATGAGCTATCGTCTCTGACTTTACATCTACAAGGTGGACCGACAAGGTAGGAGTGTCTAATAGAGTGGACAGTGAGTGGACACAGTGTTTAAAAACTCCAGCAGCACTGCTGTGTCTGATCCACTCAGACCAGTACAACACATACTAACACACCACCACCACGTCAGTGTTACTGCAGTGCTGAGAATGACCCACCACCCAAATTATACATGCTCTCTGGGGGTCCTGTGGGGGTCCTGACCACTGAAGAACAAGGTAAAAGGGGGCTAACAAAGTACGCAGAGAAACAGATGAACTACAGTCTGTAACTGTAGAACTACAAAGTGCACCTATATGGTCAGTGGAGCTGAAAAAATGGACAATGAGTGTAGAAACAAAGTGGTTTAATGTTACAGCTGGTCAGTGTATGTTAGTTAAAGGTTGCAGTAGCTAACTCAGCACTGTACAAACGGCCACATGCACTGAGTGAGCCTTTATCAGTCAGCGAGGAATTGCCTGTTTGTCTTGTTTAGATAAGATTATGCCCTAAGGTCAGTCAGCAATTAGATCAAATTCCAAGAATGAACTGAAGAGATGATTCATTCTGCTCTAAACAGGAGAACCTTTAGGCCAGATTGAGACTGGAAGCGAATGGAGTAACATGATCTACTTCCACTTCCTGTTGGTCCTGTGACTCGATATGTGCAAGACGGTAGCAATGACGGTGTTGTGAAAAGTTTGGTGATATTTTAATGTCAAAGTGAAGGTTAATGCAACACTGCGCTTTCAGCAGCTCAGCTTCAAACTGGTAGTCCTGACGATGACTCACCAACCGCCATGCTAAACTGCAGCTTATTCAGCATTGCTGTGGACATTTGTTATTACTTTAGTGCTCTTACAGTCATACAGTGCTGTGCAAAAGTCAGAGACCGCGCTTCATTTATTTAAGCCAGATCTAAATGGCCAATTTGAATGTCCATTAAGTACAAGCTATTCATTCTTAAGGGTCAGGAAAAACAGCAAAAAATATTTATTTAACAGAAAATTACACAGAAGCGTCAACAACGCAATAAAACATCACATTTTTCAGTGTCCACTCTTCACCTTCCCTTCTTTTCAGGAGACTCCATTTTCTGCAGACACACCTCCAAAGTTCAGTCTCAGAAGCTGGTTGATCATTTTCTGAAGTAATCAAACACATTCAGTGGTGTTGAGGTCTGGACTCTGGGGTGGTCGGTCCATTGTTCAGCTTCTTTGTTTGATCCGTCCGTCTCCTTTTCTCAGTGAGGTTCTTCTTGACAGCTACACATCCTTTCAGACCCACAGCGCTGAGTCGTCTTCTCACAGTGGAAGGATGGACAGAAACACCTGTGGATGTTTTCAGATCTGAAGCAGCTTGATTTTCTCCTCTCTCTCAGAGCTTTAAGTGCTGTTTATCTGATGGGGGCAGTTTTGGTGTCTACCAGGTCTTCCAGGTGGCTGTTAGGAGTCACATTGTCTCTGTAGCTTTTACTCGTTCTTTGAACTCCAGTTTTGGAAACTTCTATTTTTTCCCACTTATTTAAAGTGGTTTATCTTCTATCTGGACTCTGAACTGTACCTTTACAAAAACACTGTAGAACTTGCTGGTAAGTGATTCAGGTATGGGAATGTGATATAGAATGTCTATATAGTTGTTCATCATATCTAACAATGGCAAATATACTTTTATCTGTTATGGACTGTGAGGTGGCTGTGGAGTCCATA